GGACTACATAACAGCGACAAACCATAAAAAACAATAACGTATATACAGACAAAGAATATGTGGCTGCCATGTTAGGCGCCGGAAGTATTATCAAGTATTATTATTAATGCTAATCTTCACTATTGTCTTGCTATTTCCAAATGGTTTTTAATATTTGAATATAACTAAAGAGATTTTGAAAAGACTGTGGTAGTTTATGTATGAAARGTTATTAGGATTAGGATCTATTTTACGACATTCTAAAGCTGATACCATTCATGAATTCGCGTCAGTGAACATTTTATATTTTAATTTCGGAGAGTAGTTTTCACATGGGAATTCAGTTTCTCCCTACTATTATCCCATTCCATTTGTTTTTTCTTTTTCTTTGCTTTTTWAAAAATGTTTATCTGGTGAAAAGTATCATTAAACTTAAGAGGAAATGTTTTTCAATCATGAGCAATAATGGCAAAAAGTGCCAAAAGTAGACCTTCGTATGAGTTTTGATCTCAATTTTCGTTTTGGGTTAACTATCAAAACCTTCTTTTAACAGCTAGAAACTGATGTACTACGATAAAATGCTTGTTTGAAGTGTTTGTTGCATTTGTGTTAGAATGTAGCTTTGTCAGGCTTTTTTATAGAAAATGTATGGGAAATAAGCAAACGAAGGCCTAAACCTCATTTTCGATTAACATTTTTGCTTTGGGTTAACACTTTGATTCCACTTTCATCGGTCATCTCCACTTCCAAACAAGAACAAGTTAAACTTTTCGAATAACAAGATTTTAGCCTTGTTCAACAGCCTTTCTCCAAGAAAATAGTTTTTGGCGCTCACCGCTTGAATACGAAAAGAATTCTCTCTTAAACTCAAATTTTATGAATCAATAGTTTGGGAATTCGGGAAGATTCTATTGGGGATTTTCTTAAAGGACGTGAATTTGTTCAGTTAATAATGTACATTGATTTGAGCCGAGTCGTGACATCTAATGAACTGCGAGGGATGGAAACAAGAATGGTACCTTGATTGAAGTTAATGGAAAATCAGTCATTGATTTTTTCATTTTAATGAAAAACTTTTTTAAAACTTTTTCCGTTCAAAATTTAATTATTTGAATTTAATTATTTGAATTTTTCGTGTTGCTTGACTTGGTTATTCTGCCAAACAGGAAACTCATTATCGCAATGTGATTTTTCACTGAGAACTGACCCCAGTTTTCGGGTTGTTGCAGATAAAGAAAAAGGAGAAAATAGAAAAGTGGAATTCATTTTATGCATTTTTAGCTTTCAATATTACTTCTGAAAGCCATTGCCCTTCAATATCTTAGTTTAGTTTAGTTTATTTATCACAATCGTTGCATTAATTCTACAAAACATAAATCATATAAAGAAAGAAAGAACTGTTGTGACTGGAAAAGGAAACAGGACTCACGTCCCAATTGACATCCATGCCCAAGAAGTAGAGTGGTTTTCAATAATCTATGAAACAATTGAGCGTAGATACAATATGGGGAGTATGAGTATACAATATGAGTAATTTAGAGCGAGAATGGAATTTTTCATGTATTCCATATAATCTATAATTACTATTTTAACTTTATTTTTCATGTAAAATATTCCGAGAAAAGGAAGAAAGAATGAGAGAATTCACTGCAGAACCGAGTGAGAAAGAAAGATCAAGTGAGACTGAATTTTACCACTGTGAAACGGACAGACAGACTTTTTTGATATACAGACGTCCTGATAAGAAGACTAGAATCCATCAAGCTCCTTAAGCGCATGCCTACTCATTTTTTAAAGGTTTCATTATTTTATCGGTTTAAATTAAAATACAGTCTCCTGATACGATACTATTCTATGTTATTTATAATGCTGTCTTAAATAGACAAGAAAAGTTAGAAAAATTTTCTTCTAATTTTTCTTGTCTATTCAATACAGCATCATAAACCTCTGTTAAGAATGCCGACCGGGTCGGTTCCAAGGTGTTCAAGCTACCTATAATCGGGTCTGAAGGTCGTATTGTATTTTGACTGACTTGGTACCAAATTTTATGAAAAGCAAAAATGACTATTTTTTTGTATTCTAGAGTTAAAAGAACACGAGCGAACAAAAGAACAAAGGGATACAAGCTAAAGATCATATGACGACCAAGGTACCAAAAAAGTTGCAGGTTTTTTATTCATCGCGAACAAAGAACAAAAAGCTCTTTTAATAATTGGATCTTTTGTTCCAGCACGTTCTTTTGATCTCTAGAGCTGCGCACGTACTTAGATTATATTTCCAGCAAAGGGTTAGGAATTGCTGTCTGAGACTGCTCTGTTTTTTTCCAGTTGTAGTCCCAGCAAAACATTTTTCCATGAGTTCATATAGTTTACTGCGTGTTCATTGGTTTCTCTTAAGAGTTCATCGGGGCGATGAAAATGTTTACCCAATTCTTTGTCTCGTGCTTATGATTGCATAACGTAATTCAACGAGCTTAAAACGCTCTATTGGCCAAGCAAACACGTTGAAGGAAGAATGAGAATTTCTCCACGAAATTAAAAAAAATTTGGTTAATTTGACTTTAATTGAGGCTATGTTGTTTAGTTATATGTATTTATTACTGCTGGTGTCGGGTTGGTCTTTAGAAGTGGAGTATCGTGGTCATGTTTGGTGTGCAGTGGATTGGACAATCTTCATAAGAATCGGGGGGGGGGAGGGGGTGCGACATTACTGGGGATTTGGGGATTAACTACCACGAACCACCATTGCTAAAGAGTTTGTCTGCCACCATATAGCAAATATCAATTAACTACCACTTTTGGTTTTCGAATAATCAAAATATCTTTACGATAATGATACCTTTTGGTGCCAATTTTTTTTACAACATTTTCACAGAGTTTAAGAAGATATATATTTTTGTTTCTTTGTTGACAAACAGCCAGCCTACCACCCCTGGGGTTGATTTTGAACCCCAACTTTCACCCGCCTGAAGAAGAAATCAGCTTCTCAATTGTCTATGACTGAGAGTGATCAAAGCAACAGGTGGTGAAGAATAAAGAGCAGTGATTGGTCAAGAGGTGTGGGTACAGGTCATTGCATCTTTTATGAGTCAGTAGGGCATGAAGTAATCATGATTCCATATCTATGAGGTAATAAATCAGCCAATAAGAAGTAGATGTTTAGAAAAACCAAACACACACACGAACTGGTGCTTGACAATAACACACCATGACGTCATGAAAAGCCAAACAACAGAGCCAATGCAGCTCTTTCTTGGCGATCAAGAGTCCTCGAGGACCGTGCACACCATGCCAGTACCGGACAAAGAAATCTACCCCGTCTATGAGAAAAAGATCGACAATGAAACACCAAAAACTCAAGAGTCGACGCAGTCGAAGAAAGAAAAGTCCAGAGATAATTCAGGGTTTGTTACAGGGTTTCTGATGTATGTGTTAGAGCCGATTCTTCCTGATGACGGGGTCAAAGGAGATGGTAGGATTGCGAGTCTATTGTATTTGATTTGCCTCACAACAGCTGGGGTAGTATTCAACTTATCCAAGTGGTTGCAAGCCGATTCGAAGGCAGATTCTGGGGTAACAGAAGATCATATTGATGGTTTTCTAATAACTTGTATAGTGCCTACGCTATTGTGGATTTGCTATATCTTTTGTAAGCAAAATGACCGTAAAACAGTAGATTTCATCACGCCGTCACCACACTCAAACAGACCTTTAATGGCAGGCGCGTACGTGTTTGGGGCAGGAAGCTGTGTCATGGATTTACTTCATATCGCTTTCTACGTTGAATGCTCTTCCAACTTGTCAAGTCTGTTCTTCTCCGTCTTCAAAGCAATCTTCATCTTCTCACAAATACTATTCCTCAGGAAATTCGCCAATGCAACGCTCCACAAATCCCCCAGCATAAGACTTGTACTTTTTCATATTCTTGGGACAAATATTTGTATCTGGTTTCGAGCTCTTTTTAGTCACTCGCGAAGTATTTTCAGCGTCAATGGAGGATACGTCCAATTGCAGTTGGAAGAAGAAAACGTTTGTGTATCAAAACATTATTCTATGAAAAAAATCTGGGAAGCAGCAGAACCCTATTCATATCCCTTCACAATGGAGTATTCCTTGATTGCGGGTGGAATACTCTATAATATGTGGAGCGGGATGAGAGATTTGGATCCCGATCCTCAAGACATCTATATCTATGACGAACTGTCTGACTTTAATACGACGACTGATAACATGAGCGAGAAGTACGATGAAGACCATGGGTATGGCACGTGTGAAGCCCACACCCCTTCTAACAACTCAATCACCAGTGGACGCTTCCTTAGTCGATTCTCCTTAAACAGAGCAGTTTCGAACTCTTCGCTTTGTCAGTCGTGCATCGATCATCATGATCAGTGTAGAATGAACAAGGTACCCAGTTCGGATCCGGGTCTCTTAGTTGGACTTTTATTCTCCATTCTTCTGCTACTCGCGGTAGGATTATTATGGGTGGACAAGACGTCCTCAAATGCACTTAGGTTTTACTATTTGTATCAAATAACGTTGTTGACTTTGATGAGTATTTCGAGTTGGGTTATTTTGAAGTGTCTCATGACTCAGAAACTCACGTGGTATTCATTCGCACCGGACGATACGTTACTAATTGCTTCATTTACTGGAGTCTTCCTATACGCTGGTCTATGCCTCACAGCAGGGATCGCTGAGTACAAAAACCGCGGGCTCATATCAGACTTTTCGATCGCAAAATCTACACTTATTCTATTTCAGGGCATGCTTCAAGCAACGGCAGTCATCAAGGCACTTCGGTTCAGGCCTCGAGATGAGATAGGAGCAAACGTGATCAGACAAGGAGCGCTGTTTCTGCTGACGACCAACCTCGCACTCTGGTGTCAAGATTCTTTCTTCGAGTTGAGAGACTTTGTAACTACGCCGGTCCAGACGGTGTTCTACGGTGAACGGTCATGGAGGGCAATTACTGTTCTAGCGTATCCACTTTGTATATTCTTCCGCTTTCATTCAGCTGCGTGTTTGTTCGAAGTCTGGTCTAGTTTTAGGTGTACGCATTAAGGTAATTTTCCATGAAAACTTTTCTATGAAAATAATTTGACAAGTCTATAGAGAAGAAGCGTTCTTCTCAAAAAGACAAAAATGAAAGGTTTCGAAATTATTTTTTTATAAAAAAACGATATAGTTTGTAGTTACAAATTTTACATCGGTTCATTTAGTTGGATGATTTTGAGTCCGCTTTGCGGTGTTCTAACGATTTGAAGAATAAGGTAGATTTAAGCATGTTAAGACTTTCTGACTGAATAACATTTTGACACCACTTACTGGGACAAAAACATTTAACGGACTGAAACAGACTGTGTAACCTACTTATATAAATGACGCAACTTGGCGGTAACCGTTGATAGCCAAGTCACAGCAAAACAGCCAACTCATGCAGTTAGTGACTGACTTACTGACTGACTGACTGACTCACAGACAGACAGACAGACAGACAGCGAACTCAGTTAGTGACTAACTGAATGACTGACTCACAGACACACAGCAAACTCATTTAGTGACTGACTAAATGACTGACTCACAGACAGACAGACAGCCAACTCAGTTATTGACTGACTGACTCATAGACGGACAGCAAACTTAGTTAGTGACTGAATGACTGACAGACAACTGTTCAACTTTAAAAAAATGATCGGCCAACAGACATGATTGACTGACCTACAGTCATTGACTGACTGGCATACAATACAAATGGTAGACCAACAGACAACTTTCGGAATGACTCAGTGAATAATAACAGACAAATTAAAAGACTGATTGGCAGACAGCCAAATGTCAGACAGACAGACACTGACTGACAGTTACGTAGCTAAAAAAAAATGCAGAACTGTAGCCCATACCGACTGACTGACTGATTAATGCCTGACTAATAACTAACATCTATAAGATATTGAACTGCTTAGCTGACCCATAGACAGATGCATGACTTTGACTCATTTGCATGCAAACAGCGAACTAATTCTTTGAATAACAAAGATATGGCCAACTGTATAACTCACTGACTGACAGACTGCCCACTGACTGGCTGATTGACAGCTATAGACAGCCATCTCATTGACTGAAAGACAGGCAGACAGCTAAATGATTGCCTGAAAAACAGACACATTACACACACCGAACGCATAATTTATTACTACTATACTATGAAAGACAGACAGACAGCCAACTGATTGACTGAATGACAGCTATAGACAGCCAACTGATTAACTGAAAGACAGACATACAGCAAGCAGATTGACTGAAAGACAGACAGACATCCAACTGATTGACTGAATTATACATACAGCAAACTGATTGACTGAATGACAGACAGACAGACAACTGATAGACTGAATGGCAGACAGATGACCAACTGATTGACTGGATAATAGACAAACAGACAA